GCGTTACCTTAGCTCAGTTATTAGACGACTTTCCCACCATTATACCTTGCCTTCTTTTCAGATGTTACTAGTAACCATTTGCGTGATCCCAATCTAAATCTTCGCCCTCCGGAATCCTCGAAATTACCAAATCTGCCATTCTCCTCTTCGATTGCGATGACGATAGAGCCGACGCAATCACCGTCGGAGCCGGAGGTTCACTCTGGCGAGGACTTCGTTCACATCGAAGACCCCAGGCCTACCGGCGATATCTCGTTGAGCGATAGCATAGTGAATGTGGAGAAGGAGGAACTGCTAGACGCCGAGGCGGAGGAGGAGGAATTTAAAGACTCCGATTCCGTTGTTATCGGCGGCGATGAAGCTGGTCGTTCTGGTGATGGCGGAGAGGGAATCGACGGTGTTGGAGCGGATGATGGTGCGTGTTCATCGGCAACGGCGAAAATGGAGTTACCGGAGGAATTGGCGAAAAGCGTTGTGATTCTGACGTGTGAGTCTACAGGGAAAGGCGGATCTTGCGATGTGTATTTGATCGGGACTGCTCATGTATCAAAGGTATTCTCGTTCGAATTCGTTGATTCTGAATTTTGCGAAGGAGCTGTATTGGAATGAAACTAGGATTGGTAACTACTGACTAATTCAGGGATTGTTGATGAAGATGGATTTCATGCGAACATTCAATAGATTTATCAAATCATTTTGTAGATTATTTCTATTGGAAGGTATAATGTTGGGACCGCGTTTATGGTTGTGTCAGAAGAGTTGCCGAAAATGGAGCTTACTGAAATTTGCTAAATTAAGCAAGATTTGGGATGGTTCAGGATTTGGATTTTCAGTGAAATGTTTCAGAATCCATAGGATCTGGAATCATGAATATTCATTGCATTTTTTGTTGGTTACAGGAATCATGTCGAGAAGTTGAAGCAATAGTTAGCTTCTTGCAACCAGAGGTTCTTCTCTTTTAAATGTTCATCGCGGACTGAAGGTTGATATCGTTTATGTTCGGGTCTAAGCCCTTGGCTGATGTTACAGGTTGTATTTGTGGAGTTGTGTTCAAGCAGATTGTCTGTTCTCAAACCTCAGAATTTGAAGGTTTGCTTTTTCACAATTGTGATTCTGTTTCTTGCTTCCTATTTGGTTTACTTCTTTGTATTTTATGGCAATCAATCTGTGTGAGATTCTTAAAAAGAATTTGCATCATTGCTACTTCTTTTGGTAGAAGATGATAGATTTCGTTGGTCTCTCTGTTTATATTTGTAATAACTAGAGTTGCCAAAATTCCTTAATTAGTCACAAACAGAGGTTGTCCATTTCTTAAATGCTATGCTTTGTTGATGATATATGTACTTCACTTGCTCTATATGCTATGCTTTGTTGTTGATATATTATACTTATACACACAATTATAGCTCTTTTTAACCCATTTGCTTATTCTGAAATTGTATTATATTTTGCTTTTCTAGGTTCCAACCATGTCGGACATGATAGAATCTTGGAAGCAGAAACAGAACACATTCGGAATACTTTATGGATGGTTTCTTGCAAAGGCAAGTTTCCTTAATCAAAGATATTCTTTGATGGAAGCTTAACTTTCTGAACCGAAAATTTACATCCTTTCCTTCTGTTAGATCGCCAGTCAGCTTGAGGTTCTTCCTGGTGCGGAGTTTCGTGTGGCATATGAAGAGGCAATGAAATATGGTGGCCAGGTGATACTTGGTGATCGTCCCGTACAGGTGATATGTTCGTCAAATAGTTTCAAACCATTCTTTTTTAGTTATGTTATGCATCTTATAACATGTAATTGCATATCAAACACTTCATGGGCTACTTATAAGCATTGTCCCAGTAAATATTCATTTGGTTTTGTATTTTGTCGAAGCAGATCACGTTAAAAAGAACATGGGCGAAGATGCCTCTATGGCACAAGGTAAAGTTTCTATACTCCTTCCTGTTTCAAGCTGTCTTCTTGCCGAGCCCTGAAGACCTCAATAGAATGGTAAGTCTTATTGATATATATATATATATCTCTTTTTTCATTTTCTGCACATAATGTGATTCGTCATATATATCTCTTGATTCTGAAAATCGATCGGTTGGTATATATGGATGGTTTCAGCTGAAAGAAATGGACAATTTGGATATGGTGACTTTGGTGATTCAAGAAATGAGCAAGGAATTTCCATCTCTCATGGATACACTTGTGCATGAGCGAGACCAGTTAGTGTTCTCTATTCCCTCTCTATGTAGAGTTTATAGGATTCGTTAAGCTTGGGTTAGCTAGAAGATTTCAAGATCTTTCATCCGAGTTTGACATTATCCCCTGATTGACTGATTGGCAAGATATATATGAAAATTTCAGGTACATGGCATCCTCTTTGCTGAGAGTTGCAAGTGAGCATAGTTCGGTTGTGGCGGTTATCGGGAGAGGGCATATTCATGGAATCAAGAAGAATTGGAAGCAACCTATAACGGTTTGTTGTTGTGAAACTTGTCTCGTTTCAATATCTGTCTGATTTAAGAAGCTTTATTCTTGTTTTTAGATTGTGCTTTATATCATTAATAATAATTTATGATACTTGCAGATGAAAGATCTAATGGAGATACCGAGCGACGAATCGGTATTTACGGTGAAGAGGATAATATCATCAGTGGCAATTGCAGTTGCAGGAACAGCTATAGTTTCGGGTATATTTCTTGCAAGAAGAAGGTGAAAAGATTGTGATGGGCAGAGTTTTTCTCTTCATAGGAACTCAAATAATTGTTACTCTCTTGTTTTTTACATATCTCGGTTGATGACTCTTTTTCATGATAAATAACAAAAGTTTTTCTCGTCTGTCTTTTTCTTATTTGTTTTTGTGACAATTAAAAGTAATCCGAGTTGTAGATA